TTGAATCCCATGAATGCTGGAAATATCAAAGGTGAATATGAGCCCATTAACCTGCCATGTATACCACATAAGATGCATCTATGAGATGGTTACATGTGCGGTTATTAATAACTCGCAACATGGTATTTTGCGAGATAACTTGCTCAATAATTTAATTTCGAGCATAATTTCCAGATTTTCTATTCAAAAAGTTCATCTTGATAAGTTGGTTTACATCACAGTTGGTTTAGCAAAATGAGCTATTAAGTGCCTCTACTTAATAGCTAAACAATTGCTTATGAGAACAAAGTTACCTATATCAGTTTGATATACGTTATATACCAAGGTATATTATTTTCTCCCCTCACAAGTGGTTGAGGGTCAGGAACCAAATAATTCCATCATATTATTATTGAAGTGTGGTGTATATTTTGATTAACACCATAACGCACAAAGGTGGATTCTCAAAGTTGAGGTAACAAGTTAGTTTTTCTAACATGAGGAGGAGACATGATAAACAATTGAGAAAAAGTTACGTGGAATGAATTATCATTTGTACATCTAGATCCTCGAATAAGATAATATGAACTTGAAGTTCATAAAAGATAATTCATTTGCAATATATTGCAAAGCATGCCAGACGCATTTGCTGGCCCAAAGAAAGTAACTATATTCTCATTGCAAATGCTCCCATTAAGTCCTAGAAGGACAAAGTCTATGGTACGCTTGAAGCGTATAGACAAATCGGTTTCAAATAAACTTCTTGATAAAGAAGATGAGCAAATGATCTAAATGATCATAACAAAGGAGGCAAGTGATCTAGAAGATCACATGACATAACACTTCATAAAATCTCAGGAGAGATCCAGGTACCTGAAAATATAAATGAAGAGATCTCTATGTTATGTCTTTATGAAAAAAAGGAGGTTGGAACCAATATAAAATATTCGTCGATGACATCTATGAAAGCCCTAAGTATAGATGTGAATTTTAAGTCTGTCGAATACAGACACAAATATTGGCCAAATAGAAGAGACACAATTCAAATAGAACTGGTTTCATATGACATGTAGTTTTGAACATGTAATTCAAACACTTGAAAGTATAAAGCCAATGGTATGTGCAAATCAGCTTCCGATATCTTATATGTCTAGCATGACATGAAAACTTGATATGCATCTAAAGTCTATTATATGGCTTATATGACTTAACAATCCCTGGATGATTTAAATTGCTTAAAGCATATAGAATTCATGGTCATGAAGTACTACATCCTCAGTGCAATTTGTGCACAAATGTATCTTGCTATAACTATATGCATGATAATATGATAGCAAGTGTTTTCAACTCTATGTGAAGATATTGAACTGACGATTCCAACAAGATCATATGAAGACAATTCATCTCTATCAAGAATGATGATTTCAAGGTGCAATATATTCATTCAAGTTAATATGCCTGATTTGTTGATCAAATCTCTACCAAAGATCTTTTGAAGATGGTGCACAAGATTGGATTGCAAATGCTTAAGGATGTGAATTGATCCTCTCATCAGGGGGAGTTAATACGCGTTGTACTCTTTTTCCTTACAAGGTTTTGTCCCACTAGGTTTTCCTTGCAAGGTTTTTAACGAGGCAACCAAAAGGTGTATTGTTAAATATGTGTACTCTTTTTCCTTCTCTAGAATTTTTTTCCCACTAGGTTTTATTTTAGTTAAGGTTTTAACGAGGCACATTATCTGTTGAATAGACATTCAATGGGAGTGTTATAAATAGAATTGTATTTATGGTGAATGTCTATATTTAGAGAGATTCTAGGGTTCATTGCTTGATGGCTAAGTCACCCTCTCCTTATAAATAGAGGGTTCTATTCTATTGTAATTCATCCAATATCAATAAGAATTCTCTCTCTCTACTTTTCTTTGCAATACTCTTGTTCTTCATTTATTGTTTTATAACATTAGTTGAATATTCTTTGCCCCAAAATTATACAATGATGGGAAAAATTAAAAAATAGCCAGATTTACAAGTGGTCATTGAAAAATAGCAACAATTTCAAAAGTAATCGAAATTTAGCCACTTTTCATATAAAGATAAATCTGAACGAAAATATTGTTCAAAATCCGGAAAATATTCCAGCATAATATATTGAAATTCCAGTATAATATATTGAAACTTTAGTATATTATACTGGAGTAGTAGTATATTATACTGGAACTTCCAGTATAATATGTTGAACTTCCAACATAATATGCTGGAGTTCCAGTATAATATACTACTACTCCAGCATAATATGCTGGAAGTTCATACACAGGTGCTCCAATCTCCAGTATATTATGTCGGAACTTTCCGCGTGTTGGAGTTCCAACATAATATGCTGGAAGTTCAAACACAGGTGCACCAATCTTCAGTATATTATGCTGAAACTTTCCGTGTTGCAGCAAAATAGTGACTATTTTTCAATGACTTTGCAAACGCTGACTATTTTTCAATTACCAATCCGAAAACTGGCTAGCCCATGCTATTTTTACTAACTACACTTCAAATCTATATTATTATAAAAGTGGGAACCCCTTAATTGAAAAGTCAAATTACCATAATACCCTTTTTAATAAATTAATCTAAAAATACTAATAAATTAATTAATTAAATGGGGTCAATTAGTGTATAGTTGATAAAACTCACCTGTTTGGAGCAATTTTAAGAGCATGTTCACCGTTTGGAACAATAGCCACCGTTTCAAGAACCAAACTTTAAAACACACTATCCGGAAGCAAACTAATTATTTTTGGATGTCGTGAATTTTCAGCATGGATATGAGTATAATTTATATAAGTAGTATTACTTAATAATAGTATACTATTAATTATAAATTATATTTAAACAAAAAGAAGGGGACTGGTGTGTCTTTTCTTTTTAAGGTTATGTTTTCGCAAGACCAGTGACCAACTCTTCTAGAAATTCAAAAGTCAACCAATTTGACTCATCTATTACAAAATAGGTTGCCTTGTATAGACATATTGTATGCTCAATCTTCTTATACGTCTTCAATTGACTCCGTTAGGTCTTTCGTTGTTTCAGTATAAAAAGGAGTCTTACGAAAAATCAAGAAGTATTGTAATAAAAAAAAATATAGAATTTTAAAATCAAGATTCTAATAGACCAAATTTTGATGTTCAGGGGAGGTTAGGAAAAATCCATTGTGTTGTTCATGAGATAGAAAATCTGATTTCTTCTTCTACAAATCAAGTTTAGCAAATATCTGATGCTACAATTTTGGTCTATGACAAAGTCAAACCATATTGACCTTAACAAACAAGTCCTCGTACGATTGATCATTCAATATAAAAACTTGTACTTTATTTTTCTATGCAAAATTATTTATTTGAAATTTATTTTGATAGTATTTTACAAATACCTTTATAATTAATTTAAATATATTAATTATAAAAATAAAAAAATAACAAGTTTATTTGAAGGGATGTCATATTAGTCTCAACCGTTGGTGGCTTGCCTAACTTTTTAAATAAGAACAAAGCCTTTTCTATGAAAGCTTTCTTCAGAAGACTTGGAAGAACTTTTAAGATATACTCCATACGAAAATTTATTAATTACTTTCAAGTATACAATCTCTGTTTTGGTCGTTGAACGTTCTACAACTTCTAACTGTTAGAACTATAATGTGGTTCCAACTAATGAAGCCCGGTATCTGAAGAATGCAAGCAAGATACTATTGGCAGTTTCGAAAAGGGGAAGAAAACAACAAAATTAGACTTCAATGATTGATAGCAAAATGAGCCGCTGCATCACTGCTTGATCGAGGATGGAATCGTTGTTCTATCAAATTTAAAAGCTAATGTTGGAAAATTAACTAAAAATCAACGATCACATTTTTCAAGATAGAGAAGGAATGCATTTTATCTTCTCGTTTGATCTTTTATCATTTCTGCAATGGCTAACTTATGAAATACGGGAGAATAAAAACTCAGGTTAGTTATTGGTTCGGAAAAACATATGCATATGCCAAACAAAGGCCTGACTGAAGTGTCGTTGATTTGGAATTATCACAATTTGGCAAGTTTGATGACAACAAATTAAAACATATTTCTGTCCTAATTTATAATTTATTTATTATTTGTTATTCTTAGTACATGTTCATGATGTGTTGATCTAAAAATATATCCTATTCCACTTACATGTATGTGATGATTGAAAATAGCATGTGATTAATGGTAATTTTTTTTAATTTCTTACCAAATGAAGATTAATTAACTTTGTTATAATTATATAGCATGGATGAATATATGTAAAAGATTATTTTCACAGCAGTAAAATATAAAACAAACTTATATTAATACTTGAAAACATCTTAAGATCATGAAAATGATATCTATAAGGTAATTTATTTGGATGGATCTATATATACTTCAAACTTGAGATCATAACTAAAGGGTTATATTAATTAAAATACTATTTTAAAATAAAAGAAGAAGATTGAGTACTGTCTTCTCTTAGAGATGGTATCCCTTCTTTACTAACTAATCGTTTGAATTATGCTTTAACCATTGGTGGCTTTAAATCAAAAGCCACATTTTACATAAAGGGAATTCTCCAACATTCTTAAGAACAAATCACTGATCTACCAATTCTTCGACGTTGAAGAAGTATTGCTATTCCTCTTTCTTTATTTTCTTTCCTCTAATTCCTTCACTTTATTGTACTTTCTTTTATGTATATAATTATTTAATCAAATATCTATTTTAATAATATTAATATTATTTCATAAAATTATGTACTATATAACTTGGTATACACGTGCAACACACGTGCCGAGAAATTAGTGTATATTAAATATTTAACACCCTTGGACATCCCTAGCAAATTTCTTGATTGTGTGTATTTACATCTTTGTCTCGAATTATTATAATGACGTAAATGTCCCGACTTTTATTCCAATAAAGCTCAAAATTGTGCAAAGTTTGGTCATTTTGTGTTAATTTCGAGATTGGAAACTCGCTACTCGCCGGACCCGACCCTCATCCTGCCCCGATCCGTAACTAACACGACCCGTTTCCCTACTCTAAAAAACACACTGCACTGTGTTCTCTCTTCTTCTCGGATATGGTGGTCATGATACTTTAGTTGCAGAAGGCACAATATTGCAGCTATGGCGCTACTGCTATCAACTTCAACAGCAGCAGCTAATTCCTCTTATTTATCTTTGAGTTTTTCCAGCTTTGTAACGAACAACAATTTCTTGGTATCCCAACTCCATTTTACAGGTATTATCCACTTTCCCCTTTCCATTCTTTTCTAGTATGTAATCAATTTACATATATTGAATGAAGTAACAAACATAATGAACACTTTCCCTCTATCAACTTATTTAAACAGGTTTAACCAACAAAAAAGAAGGATGCCAGCCAAAAAAAGTTCCTTGCCCAATGGTTTTATCTGTAATAAAGGCCAGTCAAACTCAATCAAAAAGGAGAAGTGACAGAAGTAGTAGTAGTCTTTCAGGAAAAGATAGTAACTTTAAGCTCTTATTGAGTCAAGGGAGGAATAATGAGGACAATATATGCCCTGGTTGTGGAATCTTTATGCAAGATGATGACCCAAATCTTCCTGGTTATTTCAAGAAAAGAAAGGTGGAAGAAGATACCAAAATAGAGATATTTGGTGGGGAAGATATAGAGGATTTTTTGGATGATGAGGATGTTATTGGTGATGGTGGGGATGATGAAGAGGAGGAGGAATTTGGGGATTATATTGAGGGGGAATTGGAAGAAAGTGAAGTTGACGAAACAGGTTCGGGGAGTGAAGATGGATTTGATGATTGGGATTCAGAGTTGGAAGAAGAAGGCGATGACTTGAAAGAGCTAGATGGTTTTATGCCAGCGGGGTTAGGTTATGGCAACATTACAGAGGAGGTTCTTGAGAAAGGAAAGAAGAAAAGGGTGTCGAAAGCGGAGAGGAAAAGGATGGCAAGGGAAGCGGCCCGAGGAGAGAAAGAAGAGGAGGAGGTTACGGTTTGTGCTCGATGCCATTCGTTGAGGAACTATGGACAAGTGAAGAATGAGATGGCAGAGAACCTAATACCTGATTTCGATTTTGATCAGTTGATTACGACTAGGTTGATGAGACCAACTGGCAATGCTGATGCAACGGTTGTGGTTATGGTGGTTGATTGCGTTGATTTTGATGGATCTTTTCCGAAGCGAGCTGCTAAATCTTTATTTAAGGCATTAGAATTAAACAAGGATGGCTTGAAGCAAAGTAAAAAGTTGCCAAAGCTTGTTCTTGTGGCTACAAAGGTTGACCTTCTCCCTTCTCAAGTTTCCCCTGCGCGTTTGGATAAATGGGTTCGACACCGTGCTAAAGCTAATGGAGCACCTAAGCTGAGTGGAGTTTACATGGTAAGTTCACGTAAAGATTTAGGTATTAGAAATTTGCTGGCATTTGTTAAGGAGTTGGCTGGTCCTCGAGGAAATGTGTGGGTTATTGGGGCTCAAAATGCAGGAAAGTCAACATTAATCAATGCATTTGCTAAGAAAGAAGGAGTAAAAGCTACAAAGCTTACAGAAGCTGCTGTACCTGGAACTACTCTGGGAATCCTGAGGATTGGAGGAATATTGTCAGCCAAGGCAAAGATGTATGACACTCCTGGCCTCCTACATCCATATCTTATGTCCATGCGATTGAATAGGGAGGAGCAGAAAATGGTCGAGATACGAAAGGAGCTACAACCTCGAACTTATAGAATTAAGGTAAGCTAGTCTCTCTTATTTACTTTATCGTTTATACCCCATCATACAATCTTTTCCATGATAGGCAGCTCAAGAATGTATTTGTTTGAACTTTTCTATTACTGACCACAAATTAATTGCTGGAACTTTATGAATAGGTATGAATATCTCTACATACGTCGCAGTTAAGCACTATGTACATTCTGATCATCCCATGATCCATTAAGCTTGTCTTCAATACTATTGAAACTCTGCACATAAAATTTACTATTGGTACCTTATCTGGACTTGCTTGTAATTGTGAATAATGCATACTCACAAAATTTAAGTAATTACTATATTCAAAGATTATAACAGGTCTGTCAAAGAAAGAAAGCATTTGGGAAATATTCTATTTACCTGTACTTTGGTGCAATTAGCTAGAAACAAGATATGTGTTTCTCTGAATCTGGCAACTCCCTGAATTTGTTTGGAACAGACTGTTAATTTTCAGGCTCTTACTCTGAGCTCTATCCGTTCTCTGGTCTGTAAAGGATTGCTGTATTCATTTTTTCATTTCCACTGGAGAACATCTTTTCCTCCTCCTTCTGTATTTCTTACTTATCTGCAAAATCTTCCTTTTTCTAGAATAAAGAGTCAAGTTTAAAAAGTAGTAGTTTGGTACCTGTTACCAATTGCATTATTGTGTATGATAATGGTCGACAGGTTTAATGTATTCTGCGTTTCTTACATCTGAGTTTGCTGCCTCTTGGGTCTTGAAACAAATGGGTGAAACAGCTTAGCTAACAACATTGAGCTTCTCCCTAGGAATCTGGTTCTACCACCGAAGTAACCTGGAGAAGATAAATGAGAGTATAGTTGGTAGTTGCCTCTTAAAAGACGGTTTACTTCACTTTGCTTTGAAGAATCCTACGTCTGGTGCATCTACCTTGAACTTCGTGCCCTTTATATGCCTGTTTTGGCGATAGTTGTTATATATAGTCTTTCTACATGAATTTTGATGTGACATATGAAGATAGAATCTATACGTTCTGGCCTTTTATTTGGTAGGAGATATTGATGAAGCTATTGGGAGGGCTATGAACTTAGAAACGGAGAGCAATTTGATGAAATGACCTTAAATCTTTATAAACTGACCCCTAATCGAATTGTTGGGATTCAGATAGCTCCTTCTGTTAATCCCTGTCTTTAGCTGCTGTTTTAGCTTACAGGTAGAGATATAGGTGATTGCCACACAGTTGGACGGAATTCAGACAAAATCCGGAGCAATTTTGTTTATGGGAAGGATTTCATGATAAGAAAAAATTGCATCTGATTAAATGGAGTATTATGTTGAAGAATATGGAGGATGGTGGCTTGGGGGGTTAAGAATTTGAGACTTCATAATAAAAGTCTCTTGTTCAAATGGCATTGGAGATACTATGTTGGAAAAGAGAATCTTTTGAAAAAGTTATCTTTCCCAAGTATGGATTGGAGAATTCTTGGTCACCAAACCTGTAACTCATATGGGGTGGCCCTCTGGAGACAAAATCAGAAGCTTATAGGAGCAATTTCTGTATAGAATAAAATTGAAGATATGAGATGCTGCAAGTATCAGACTTTGGGAAGATAAGTGGCTGGATAATGGGACTCTTAAGGACATTTATAAACTCTTATATTCAGTTAAGTAACTGAGAAAGAAAGCACTTGCCAAAAGCTGGTCCACTGATGGTTGGAAGCTAGATTTTAGAAGAAATCTTAACGACTGGGAAATAGAAAGGGTTACACAGCTGTTACAAGTTTTAAACCAAATTAAAGTGATGGAAAATCTGAAGGATTCTGTATGGTGGAAAGAGAAGAATAATGGTCACTGTTAAAGTCCTGTTACCATTTTTTTGTTGTTGCAAAAGATAGGGGACCAATGATTTGGAGAAGGTGCTCTGGTAGAAGCTGTGGAAAACAAAAGCTCCCACAAAAAGTGGCTAGCTTTTGGTGGGTTGCAACACATGTTGCATGTCTCACACAAGATAAGCTACGAAAAAGAGGTTTTTATTTATGTAGCGTGTGCTTTTTATGTGAAGAAGAAACGATAATGGCAAGACATCTGCTTATACGTTGCAAGTTCACTGTGTGAAGGAATTCCCAGCATTTTGTATAGTTTTTGTACTTATCAGTACCTCCTTGGTACTGATATTGTTAATAAATTTTATCTTACCTTACCTATCACTGCGACACAATTTTTTTGTTCCTGAGATCAAAAGACCTTTGACTCAAACGTATCTTGTGCAATCTTTTTGCAGCAAGGGCAGACTGTACATATTGGAGGACTAGTTAGACTGGATCTAGTTCATGCCTCAGTACAAACAATCTATGTCACTGTCTGGGCATCACCAAGCGTCTCTCTACATCTCGGAAAGACAGAAAATGCTGATGAACTCAAGAACAATCATGCCGGAGTGAGATTGCAGGTAATACTCCAATTCTTGCAGGTTTTTTGTTCTGTCTTTGTATGTTTTCCAAGTTAATATCCAAAGGATAATTTGCTCCTGGAAGCTTAGCAACTTGCATCTTTAAGTATATCTAACGAGTTGTGTTTGTTCAACGCTCTCCGGTGCTCTTTTCACCATGTTCTGCTCCTATCTTTCACCTTTCATATGTAGACGCTATATGCTGTTTACCCACCATAGATCATTGTGGGTCACAGATGAAACTGGTTTATCATTGGGGATTACGTAATATAAGATATTCTCCTTTTTAAGAATTTGAAGCGGAGTCTTGGAGCAACGATAAAGTTGTCTCCGTGTGACCTATAGGTCACGGGTTCGAGCCGTGGAATCAGCCACTGATGCTTGCATCAGGGTAGGCTGCCTGCATCTCACTCTTTGGGGGTGTAGCCCTTCCCCTGACCCTACGGGATGCTTCATGCACCGCGCTGCCCATTTATTTCTCTTTTTGAAAATTTCCTCTAAGATGGTTTCAATTTGCTCAAGCTTAAAAGAAAAAGGATGATTGTAAGGAACACATACTTTCTCTAATTATTCTGCTTTTTTTATTTTTCAGCCTCCAATTTCCATGGATCGAGTTTCTGAACTGGGACAATGGCAAAAGCGGGAAGTAAAAGCATCCGGAATAAGCTGGGATGTCAACAGCATGGATGTTGCGATTGCTGGCTTAGGATGGTTCTCCTTGGGTTTGAAAGGTGAAGCAGATTTAGCGTTGTGGACATATGATGGCATTCAGATCACATTGCGGGAACCATTGGTACTTGATCGTGCAGCCTCTATTGAAAGACCTGGATTTTGGCTACCTAAGGCTATATCAGAGGCAATTGCTAACCCATTGAAGCTTGAAGATCAAGCAAGGAAAAAGAATACATCAGAGAAGACAATGCAACTTTCAGAAGTATTATCTGACTAAGGAAGTAGCTAAGTCAATTTGCATGTTTTCCAGGGTGGAACATTTCTTGAGGTTAAAAATGTGAACGGTATTAAGTATGGGCTACACTTTCTTCAGCTGACAGATTTCTGCAGTGCTAACTTTTTTAGGAGCAGGCGTCGCTAGAAAATACAAAGAACTTCTAGTACTTTTATTTTTATTTTGTATAATATTGCCGGAGATGAGTATATATGGAGTAATAACATGGTGATGATTCATATAGCAGATCTCAACTTGTTTGGCATTGATGTGTAGTTATTATAGTTGATGTAACTTTTTTAGGAGCAGAAGTCACATTATGACATCCTACTTGTTGGATTGTGCAACTATAGTTAGAAATGATCTAGAGAGCCTTCACTAAGCTATTTGGGAGCAGTAATCAGAATTGCAGATTGCCAGACTGGAAAAATGGGGTAATCTCAATTACTCCCTCCGTTCACTTTTAGTTGTCCGCTATACTAAAAATACATTTTCACTTTTACTTGTCCATTATATTAAATCAAGAGAAAAACAATTTTTTTTTTCTTGTTTTACCCTTATCATTAATTACTCATTTTTAAAATTATTTCTCACGACTTTTTGAAATGCTATCATTATTAGGGGTTATACGATAAAATACACACTCTAACTATTATTTGTTAAAGGGCGTAAAAATTTTAAAGTGGACAAGTAAAAGTGAACGAAAGGAGTAATATCTAAGTTCCTTTTATTTTATTTAATTAATGTTTTACAGCTAGCTTTTATTAACAATTATGGTGTGACACCTTTAAATTAATGTTTGGCAGCTAGCTTTTACTGATAATTATATTAGAAAGGTAAGTTCAATTTACATGGGGTACGAAGAAAGATGTTAGAAAGTTTGAGTAGAAATAACACCAGGTAGCTGCTTTTAAGCATGCGATTTAAAATATATCCACAGTTTATAATGTATTTAAAGATTAGGCAATTCGTTAAAACTTCATGACACATCGTTCTAGAGTTTAAACCTCAAAGTTCAAACTTCAGGACATCGTGTCCTAAAGTTCGAAAATTGTATTTAGAAGTTCGATTCTTATGTCCTGAATTTTAAATTAGTAGTTCAGAAATTCAGGACACTTAGTCCTGAATTTCAAATTAGCAGCTCAAAAATTCAGGACTCTAAGTCCTGAATTTCCAAATTCAGGATACTTTGTTCTGAAGTTTGGATGAATTGGCTAGTCTTTAAATATATTATAAATTATAAATATATTTTAAATATCAGCCTTAAAAGTAACTATTAATACACTTTGCCCAAAGTTTAACAGCATAGCAAACTATGAGAAGTTTTATTTTGCGTCTCATACAACTGACACTAGTTGTATGAGGCTCCTTTTTGTCTCACAAATTTGTGGACCCCAATCTTACACTTCTGGGTTCACAGAAATCTGGGTCTAAAAAACTGTGAGACAAAAAGGTTGCCTCATACAACTAGTATCAGTTGTTGAGAGACAAAATAAAATTTTCCGCAAACTATAATCACAACCAGCGAGCTCTTAAACTATGATCAGGTAGGAACATTGGGAGTGATTTTATGGTGTGCCTCACACAACTTACATTAGTTGTGTGATGCCTCTTTTTATCTCACAGATTTGTGGACCCATATCTTACACATTTGGGTCCACAAAATTCTGGGACCACACAGTTGTGATACAAAAAAGAGGCATCATACAACTAGAGTCGATTGTGTGAAGCATAAAATAAATTTTTCAAACATTGGTATAATAAATTTATGGAGAATGCCTTTTGAGTGATTTCCCGGTAAACTATATTATACATGGGATAATCATCATTGTCCTTTGTTGTTGGTGCATGTATCATATCTTTACATTTTAAACCTTTTTCTCTATATAAAACAATATAAATTTGATCATGAGAGAAATTGGTTCACGTAAATAAATTTTAATAAAATTTAACGTCTGACCTTAAGCTTTATGAAAATTGTGTTCTTAACAGATAACTTGTCATCTAATTTTGAGATGCTAACAATGGTATTTTTCAAATGAATACATGTGCATTTTTTTAAATCACCAGTGCAAATAATAGTATTTATTATGTGTGTATTAAAATCATGACTCATGACATATTGTTCTTGTACTATTACATCATCTTTCACAAGGATTAAGTACACAAATAGCCCTCCGTTTGGACCCTAGAAAATAGACCACTCAAACTATTACTCGAGAACTTCCAAAATTTACTTGTACGAGTTAAATACGTGGTTTCATTAAGGAAATTTCGGTATAATTTCATTTTTAACGATAATTAACTTTTTTCATTATTTGAAGATAAAGCAACAAAAGTATAAATTTCTTATGGCTGGACATGACTTCGAGTAAAATACCGGTTAAATTATATCTTGTTGCACCATGACACAATGTTATTTATATCACTACTATGACTCCTCCTTAATTTCATAAGCTATTTACTATAATTTAATACATTTCCAAGATAGATAAATAATAAACTAATTAGTACTTCCAACGAGAAAGGAATGTGTTTTGGAGGAGTAGAATCCTTGCTAAGGATATGCTTTCTAATGAGTGATTTAAATAGAAGAAAATGATTCCACAAATATTTTCTGTATTTTATTTATCGATATACCGTATTATATTCTTTGGATCCGCGACATTTTTTGTCAGATTCAACCTTATAGTTGATTTTTCTTTGGTCCTCCATTTCTCCAGATTTGACCATCGATAAGGAAAACTGGCTTGGTTTTGCTAGCTCGTCGGTGCTGGCATAGTCAACCTCATTTGAGCATCATGAATGGTGTAGTACTTGCTTCTCCTTGCTCGATATTTCTAACATCTCTTCCGGTTGGTGACCTTGTTATTGCAAAAGTGAGAAGATCTCAAAGAGTAAGTCCGAGGTAGATACAACTTGGATGAAACTCAATAAATATGAGGATGTGCCACCGGAATAGTGATAAGCATATAAATATGGCTCACTATTGCTAGATCCGGAGGGCAATAAAGTCGAAGTCGACAACCATTGGCTCTTATACCATGATATGAGCTAAACATATCGGCGAGGACAAAAATATAAAGGGAAGATTAGAAAGAAGAAGACAGAAAAGTAGGGCAGAAGAGAAAATGATCTAATCATTCATTTAACATAATGTTCCATACAAAATTTTGTAGCTCTTATAGGCTAGAGACTCTAGAAATACCAACTAATGAAATTCCTAATACATAAAAGACTAGATCTTGTAATTACAAAACTTAATTGATATAATCACACACACATATATATAGTAACTTATTAACCAGTTGTCAATATTCCAATTCATACCCTAAATGTATATATTGATATATTTCACTGACTGTACGAATTCATATAAGTTAGATTGCCTTACGTTTATCAATAAAAATCTTTGTAGAAGATTATTGGGTAAAAATATACAATTACAATATTTGTTGTAAAATATGTACCCTCCTACTTCAGACAACTTTTCTCCTAAAAAATCTGTCAATTCCAATTTTACAACCGCCAACTATGGCGGTGGAGCGACATCTTTCTCCTTCAGTTAGATTATTCCAATAACAATTGCGTCGTTTCAAAGGGATGAATACTTTTTCACATTTCAAGGACAAATGTTCTAAAGTGAGAGAGACTATAACACGCGATCTCTCAATTTTTCGTTTTGTGAGTTGCACCTAATGCTGGCAAATGGGCGGGGCCTCGTGGGCCGATCCTTAGTGGGCCGGTCCTATGTGAGCCCGGGCTTAAACGGTCCCGGTCTTCGTGGGCTTTTGGAGGTAACCGGACCGGAGCCCGAACTAATGGTTCCGGGCTAAGTGGGTCGGGCCCGAGCCTAAACGGGCCTATGTGGGCTCGACCTATTTTTTTAATTTTTTTTATCTAAGATAATTTCTTGTAAATTATATAGCTTATCTATCTATATCTATCTATATTATTATAAAAGCATGAATAAAATGTTGGATTACAAAAATAACCTTTTAATATTAAGCATAATAACTCATAATAAAAGGACATAATCGGAATTCTAGACATTAGCCTTGTAATCCTATTACTTTTAGGATATACTTCTTAAAAAAATTCTATTGCTAATTTAATTTTTTTAAAAACGTATTATATTGTCCAAATATATTTAAAAACAGGAGAGCCCATATATGATTATAAAAGCACGAATATTATATTGATAAATCAAAATAGCTCTAAATATTAAATTAAACAGAAGAACTCATAAGGAAATGACATAGCTGTAATAACTAATTTTTTGGAATACAATTACTTCTGTGTTAATTTTTTTAATATATAATATTTTAAAATTAATACAATCATGTCTATTGAACTCTTATTAAAAATATGTTGGAAGGTTTAATAAAATCAATTTCATAATAATCCTCCATATTGGTAATACATTACGACTCTATAATATTCAATACCAAAAAAAAAAAAATAATGCTAAACGGACTGCATAAAGTGTTGAAATTGAGAAAACGTTCCCACGATAATATATTNCCACGATAATATATTATATTTGAACTTCTTTCCTACTCAAATAATATTTTTTTTATTATTAATTTTTCATGTAATATAGAAAAATATACCCAATTATTAAAGAACAACTAAGAAATTTTTTAAGAATATAAATGTGTGAGAAAAGAAAGAAAAAGGTTGGTAAGAGCCAATACCATTAATAATTTTGCAAACATAAATATCTAAAAGTGGAATGTTAGCGATCTTTTTACTCTTTAAAAATAAAATTTATGGTGGATAAAATTATAATCACGGTTAAATATTCAAAAAATGAGATGAACTAATATTAAGAATCTAAATCAACAGAAAATAAATTATATTTTATGTTAAAACCAAATAATCAAATCTTTTCATTAATTATTTAGCAAAAGATCCAATTAAATTATTTTTTAAATTCATCATATGAGTAAAATTATTTTTCAATTAAAAAAAATCTTAGGGTACATATATTTATTCCATAAAAAGAGTGTTAGAGATTTAAGAAAATAGATCACAAAGTAAAAAAGATTAATACAATATTAAGAAGGCCATACAAGTGTTTGAGAAAGCACAACCAAAGCTAAATCCTGAACAAGAATAAGCTTTGAAGACTATATTATAAAATCGACTCTGGTATAGCGAAATTATCCTTTTTATATGTCTCTGGCGGAATCAAAAAAATATTTCTATGTCATGCATTACTTACAAATATCTGATCAAGGGGCATGATATTGTCAACAATAAGAACAAGTGATGTATTAACAATGATTTTATTATGAGGCCC